TTTGGAAACCAGAGCAAGCTTTGTCCACTTTGTTAACAAATTGGGGTCGATGGGCCCCTTGGACCATGCTATTGGGATTGGCTTTTCTCATCAACCCCTAATATCTGGTCCCAAACCCCCCTCCCCCCACCATCCCCGCACTCCCAGTTCTACATCTACACCACCCGTGCCATGTCTCAATTGTTATCAACCCTACCTAATTGCATCATCCATCATCACCTCTTATTTTGTTCCCTGCACTTTTTATTTTTTCCTTTGAAATTTTTTCACACAAAGCTAAAAAAAAAAAAAAAAAAGCATGCTAGCAGGCAGCAGCAGCAATGTAAAGGTTTGCGACGAAACTGAGGTTAGGTCGGGATCTGGTGGGGTCCATTTCCAAGAACAAAAAAATACCATATACTTGTAGGAGTTGTAGTCTTTGATCTGATGGGTCCCATCTGACATAGCCCACGCACGCCTTCTGATGAATGGGAAATTGAATTCATGACCCATTTCCAGGTAAGCCAGACCGGTAGGCAGCCGAAAAAAGATACTTGGCCTCTTCGATACAGTTTTTTTTGTTTTTTTTCTCTGTTTTTCTTTGGGCTGGAAATGAGATAGCTTCCTTGTGATCATATCATAGACAATTAGACATTGGCAATTTAGCATTGCCTCGGGAAATTGTTATTATTTTGTTTGTTTCCGAGTAAATCAATTCAATAGATTAAATGATTAATTTACCCTTTTTGTTGCATTGGCAGTCTGCCAGTGAGTCCATTTGTTGTCATTTACTATTTAAAGGTTGAATGATCGGTTTCCAGATATCGAATTTTGTTTAAATGCTGCATAGGGTTACTTTATTCTTTGGCTTACAATCCAATTTAAATAGTACAATAATATTCTTTTGAATGGAATTTGTTGGTATGTGATCAGATTTGTCAGCTGAAATTTGGTGAATTGTGGAAGGAAATGAATCTACACCTATAGTTTCATGATTTGCACAAAAATGCGTGCAATTATGAATACTCGAGTTCTTTTATCAGTATTTTATTTTTGGACAAAGAATTCCCATGTTCAAGTTAACTGAATTTCATGAATTTCACTACTTGCGGATTTTAATATATAATTTCAAGTTTCAATAATGGTTCTGGCCAACAGAAAAGGTTTCAATTATGAAATTTTGCATTTATGGAGAAGTCAGTTATTTTTGGTGAAACACTATTACAAAAGCTTTGAACTGATAATAAACACAAATTCCTGTTTGGCCAAAGATAATCACAGTTACACTATCATTAATCTAGAATATAAATAGAAATCAATTTAACTCAATCAAGTTAATTCCACATATAATCCATATAGGTTTCATTTAGATGGTCGGAGGGTCAAATCTTAAAACAATGTGATGGTATGATAAAAAAATTTTTCATTGATTATCGAAATAAAACAATAATTAGTAAAATTAGAGTTAGGAAAAATGGAATGATAAACTTCTTAGGAGCAATTATTAATAAATCTACTTTAACTTCTTTTAGGAAAATAATGCATGGTTTATCTTAAAAACAGTGGCTCTCTAGCAAATGCCTTAAAGGAACTTTATATAACTTTCTTACAATTAAATAATACTACCTGAAAAATTAGGATGAATGGTTTCATATGGTCAAGGTTTTGTCCTAGATAAGTGCACTTACAAAGACTATTAAAAGCATCCTTTATTTATGATTATAAGACAATGATATACCTTTGTTTTAAAGCACACAAGAGAAAGTATTGCATTTCCAATTTAGGATTTTTTACTTAAATTTCACCCCTTTTTTTAACTATTAAACTAAGTTCCGCTAGCAACGAAAAACCCTATTTTAGTATGAAAATGAAGCTATTAGTTTCACGTCTTTTCCAACCCTCCAAACTTACACATAAACAAATTATGAGTATGTACAAAACAAAATGTTGTCAAGTGATGAAAGATGAAGTTGAAACAGTATGTTTGAATTTAGTTATATAAATTATAAGAATAAAATGTACATAATTTGGACAAATTAATTAAGAATCAATATGCTTATATATCTGAATTGATATAATTAAGAATTATAAGTGCTTGTAAGTCGAATTTTCTTTGCATGCGTGAGCTGTCCAACTACAAGCCATGCAGAAGAACACCGTCTAGCCAATGGGATTGCCAACATGTTACTTTTAGTCTAACCAATTTGTTTCATCCACAGACTGTTTTCTAATTAAATATGAACCTCCTGGCGACTCAATGTGTGGATATAACTGAAGATTAGAGTCCAGACAAAACAAAAGTTTGCCGTAAAAATTCAGCCGTCTAAACCCAAGTCCACGTTATCGGCTCCTGAAATTTAATAAGAATTCAATTAGCTAATGATTCATATATGGAGCTTTTGTTTTCGGCTATGTAAAACATATGTTTGGACTCTAATTTATTCAATGTTCGTGTCGATACATGTAATTTTCAATCTGAATACTATGGTCCCCCTTTTGAAGTATTGAAAGTTTGAAGAGAGCAAGCTAGCAAAACAATGACGGTTTTTTATTTTGTATAAAGGAGACTATAAGCCCATAACTTGGGATAAAAGAAAAGATTGTAGGTGTTAGATTTAAACTTTAAATTTATTAAATATTAATTTTTAAAAATAATTATATAAACTAATAGAATTAAGCTTTGAATTTTCTTAATTTTTATACGATGAAGTGTATCAAAGAAATATATTTGGGCTTCAAATGTGTTTAACGAGTTTCGATTGGAGAAAGGAATAGTACCAGAGAATCCAAACCAAACTGCTGATCCCCACAAATTGACTAGCTTTGATGTTAACACCTGCTGTTTTTTTCTTTGGTACAAAAACTTGGTACCTAACCATCGTTATCAATGATCAATAAGGCTTTGATATCAATCTGATCTTTTTAATCCAATTGGTTTTCCTTGGGAATTGAGGAAAGTCACTACCAGATATGGAAATATTAGACTCTAGCATTCCACCAGTCTTGTTCCATAGCGTGTGACAGTTAGCCAATTACACCTTCCAAAACCTGGTTTTAATTTCTTTAAAATCAAGGTATCCTGTTCTTGGAAAACAACATCTTTGAGAAACTCATTAATTTGTACAAAGTTTTGAGGCTTTAGTTGGTTTACAATATTTGAACTGAATTTTAGACAAACTTCGTTGAAAATTGAGAGTGTATAATCAACCTACAGTTAAGACAGCAATTTTCTTGTGCTGACATATTATAAACCTGTTTGATAATTGCAGTAAGTAGGCAGTAAATAAGATGACATAAACATGTCGGATGTATTAAACAAAATATATAGTATATATCAGCATAGCACAACAAACCACATGTATTATTTATGTGTTCCCCAGTCCTGCCCTTTTCTAGGGATGAAAGGGTGGCTGAATGTACCTGGAAATTGAGGTGGGTTTTGTCTCAAACTCAGAAAAAAGACATGCAACTGCATAAATAAATGAATAATAATAATAATAAAATGAATTGAGTGAGAGACACCCAGATGAGAGAAGGGTTTTAATGATGGGGAGGAAAGGACAGGATTGAAACACGACTAACAGAAAAAGGGAGAGAAGGGGTTGTTCCAATTGGGCAATCTTATCTCGTCTATATATTTCTCTGTTCGTTGGGAAAGGGAAGGAAACTATGGATTTTTTTTTTTCAGATTCCCCCCAATCGTTTCCTTGCTCCTTTTTAAAACTAGGAAAGGCCAAACATGAATAATGCTGTCATGCACGTGAAAAAAAAAAAAATACTATTCTCTTCATATTCAGGGGAGAACCCCCCAAAAATATTATTCACCTAATATTACCACAACAAAGGGAGGACTGATCACTCCGGGCTCAGGGTCAGGTCCTCCTAATCCTTTCAGTACTTTTATTAACAAAACAAAGCTTCCTTTCACTGATTTGTACCATTCTCTTTCTCTCACTGGATATAAACCTAACAAGCATGTTCATCTCTGTCAGGTTTACACCATTGTATGAGATTTTTCACTGTTTGAAATGATGCAAATTAAAATCCTTTTTTACAGGCAGGGGAAAAAGATCAAACGTGTCCTGATTATCAAAGCTCTGCTCCAACTGCTACTCGGGTTGCCGTTGGATTCCAACCAGATCACCCATACTGCGTCAGGTTGGCCCCACCCTTTTGATTTGTTTGCCAATGCAGTAACATGGGGTGTTTTCTAAATTGCACAAAATTTATTCACTCCTGTTAGAATTCTTTTCTTTCTCAAGATTCATCTGGATACATGTTCTGCCGAATTCAGCAATTCTTGTTCATGTATCTCACAGTTACAGGATTGGAAATGTGAATTTCAGAAACTAGCAGTAGTTTTTTTAGGCAAAGTACGTGAAATTAAGGAAATAAAGTATAACTGCTCCAATCCCAACACCGTTTATGTTTATGGTTTAACATTATCCCATGCCAGATATTTCTTTCTTTTTTTTGTTCATTTAATTATTGATGATATTTGAAATGAATATATATAAAATTTTTCGACTTTTTCCCTAAATGATTGTAACTCTGTCTGAACCTAGAATGTGTATTTTATCCTTACTCTCATAGCATATTCTACAGGGGAGATTACTTCATTGCTTACTTATATCCAAACCCAATTCATTGAATGATGGATAACAATGGAAGAGGAAAGTAAGACGAAGGAAGTGAAATCTGACACCTGTTTGGTTTTATTCTTTTTTTTTTTTTTTGGTTGCAATCTTTGGCTTTATTCTTTTTCAATAGACAAACACAACATATCAATCATTCGATTCCAAGAACTGAAACTATAAAGCAGTTCTAGTAAGAGTAAGAGTAGTAACTTAGTCAGTAGCAACTATAAACTAGTAACTTAGTCAGCAGTAAGAGTAGAATTTAAAATAAAAATAAAAAACAAACATATTCATCATCAAATTTCACTGAATATAATGATTGAAAAAAAAATTCATCACGCAAAACTTGAACGTACGACAATTCCCCCTTACCCCTTACCCTCCCCCTTTCTCTTTCTCTTTCTCTTTCTCTCTCCCTCTCATTTTCATATCTTTTGAGCTGCATCAAATAGTTTCCACGTCAAACCCATATTCATCACGCCTCTTTCAGCCCACTCCATCCTTTCCTCTCTTTTTCACTACAGTTCTCTGCTGTACCAAATCACCCATCTCTCTCTCAAATGTCCATAAACCACGTCTTTGAGTAGAAACAATCAAACAACAAAAATATCAACTCAAACAACAAAAACAAAAAGTCCTTCATGGAACCAACCCAAAGCTCCCCTTCTTCAAAGGTTCACAAGCCTTTAATTCCCCTTGAAAACTCCTCCTGGACCTCCCATTTCTACCCTCACCAATCTTGGCTAAACTCCTACAACAATCCTCGAGACCACCCTCACCATCCCTCCATGTTCTTCCCTTCAAATCACCCTTCCCACGACTTCAACCTTAACCAAGAGGAAGACGAAGAACTCGACGACCAAACGTCCACTTACAACACCGAAAACCCTAACCAAAACCTTCATGAAAACCCCCTAGGCCATGAAAGAGAACCAATGTTTGAAAAACCCTTAACCCCGAGTGACGTTGGCAAGCTGAACAGGCTTGTTATCCCCAAACAACATGCAGAGAAATACTTCCCACTCGGCGGTGACTCGGGCGATAAAGGGTTGCTACTGAGTTTTGAAGACGAGTCAGGCAAGTGTTGGCGTTTCCGTTACTCTTATTGGAACAGCAGCCAAAGCTACGTGTTAACAAAAGGGTGGAGCAAATACGTGAAAGAGAAGCAACTTGATGCTGGTGACATTATTTTATTCGAACGACACCGTACGTATAGTGATAGATTGTTTATAGGATGGAGGAGGCGCGGTGCGGCAGCGGCGGTTGCAGCGGCAGCAGCGGATGGCGGTAACGCCGTGATGGGGAATAATAGCGGTGGTGGCGGTGACAATGAGGGGTGGAGTATTATAGGATTGTATGAAGGGCATCCTAATCTTGGGCACATTGAAGGCCATGGGTCTATTGCGCCATACCAACCTGACTGCCTTCATGCAGGTATATAAATATATATAAATATATATATATATATATATATATACATTTAAAAAAAGGTGTTTATTTTATAGATAGCTACTTAGTTTATTCTATAAAAAAGTTTCGAATAATGTAAAATTGGAAATTTATTCGCACATTGAAGTTCGTGAGAGACACTTTGTCGAAACGATTTACTACTGTTTTTTCCAAACGATTTTGTTGCCTTCACCTTTTCATTTTAATTGGCAAGCATTAAGAAACCTTTTCCTACAATCATTTCAAGCATTTCTATTCTTTTCGCTTTTTTCTACTTTAAAGAAAAGGGGTTTCATTGGAATTGGCATAATAAAAAAGAAAGATGTCAAATTAAGTAAGTGGATAAGCACTATTTTTTTGGTTGAATTTAAAGATAGAGATGAGGTAAGAGTTAAGTTGATTATGGATCACATGGGAGCATGTGTTTTTGGGATATATTTGCAGGAAGCATGGCTCAAAATGCAGCACCAGCTGGGAACCCAAAGAGGTTGCTGCGGCTATTTGGGGTGAACCTAGAGTGCCAGCTCGACGACTCCGAGCCATCCACGCCTGATATGTCGTCGGTGTCGAGTCAGGGTCCAACCACCCACCAGTTTTACTCTCAGTCCTACGCTTCAAATTATATGGTAAGCAATGCATATATCCAATAGTTTTTCGCTGCTGCTTCTAATGAGACAGATTAACAAAGGATTGAAAATTAGTAATTAAGTTGGGGAAGGTTGACCACATGACACGTGGCCTAATTTTATTAGTCTAGTCACTAAAATATGGTAAGTTGCAATGTAGTTTACTTTTGTCCCAACCATTTTTTTTCTTTAAAAACAATTTTTTTTAAAACCAGACATTAATTGATGAACATGCCCCATCCAAGCTGTTGAATACAGTGGGATTTCAGGATTATTATTATTATCTTTAAATAAAAAGATAAAATGGGCCCTAAGTAAGGCATGCAAGTTCATTACTTCCAACTCTAGTGAACTACTCTCCTTCTAGGATAATTAAATCAGTTATCTTTTTCTTTTTCCCATAATTATTTTTCTAAAACTCCTACTAATTATTTTATTATCACTAAAAAATTATTTGATACATCATCCAAATTTCACTAAGTAAATTAGAAGATAAATTATGTAAAAACATATAAAATAATATAGATTTTATGGGTTTTATGTGAGTTATTCGTTGGAAATATCGTGACAGATCATCCCTTGTCGCTAGGCTAAATCCTGGGGCCAAACCGACCTAGCCAAATAGTGGTCGGTATGGTTTGAAAAAATGGTTTCGTTTGGAAAGCAATAAACTGAATAATATACTTGGTAGTATTTGCTTTTGATCAGCCATAAATTTCGAGTAAAATAAAAGCTCTAAAGGTTTTAAAATCCCAAGCAGAAATGGAGTTGGGAAGTGAACAGAGGCCACATAAGCTAGATTTTTGTTAGTTAAAATATTCCAAGTCGAGTAGATCTTGTCCGCTAAGCCAAAATTTTTATGTGTTGAAATTGATGGAGAATGCAATAATTAAGATGCCCTCCAAATAATTGATGGTCAAGAGGGGGGCTGGTCAGAATAGTTAGGCACATATTCTACAGATTTTTCCTGAAAATTAAAGCATTGATTGATGAGGTGATTACAACTGTAATTTTCTATAGAATTTTTGTTTTTGTTTTGGTGTATGTGATTGTAACAGGATTTCACTTTCTCCAGAGATATCAACCAGATGAGAAACCATCGAGGATAAGATTTGAAGATGTGACATCCAAGATTTGACTTAATTGAATCCCACGCGGAAGGTCAAAAGAAAATACTATTAGTATATGAGAAAAGAAAAGAAATATATATATATATATATGTTCTGTTTTTTAATTTTATTTTTCTTGAAAGAGGAAGAAGTTAAAAAAATATATTAGTAGAATTAGGCAACTTTCCAGGGCAGGGAAAGTGAGGGAGACAGAGGGAGCCAGGGAGGGAGGCAAATTGGAAGATGGAAATGAGAGTTGAGGGGAGACGCAGGCAAAGAGGAGTGGGGCAAGGGTGTGGATGTAAGCAAATGCCAAATGGAGAACACTGGGTCGTTTTTGGAATCTATTTGGGGGACTGTTGAGATTCTACCTCAAAATTTAAGGCCCATGTAGCCAAAGCTGTTTTTTTTATGCTCTACTACTGTAAGTTGCAGAAATCTGAATCAGAAAGCTTTAGAAATGGACTGCATTTTCACATTCTCTCTCTCATTTGGATTCCATTCTCTGTAATTTTTGTTGCAGCCAATGATCCTGAAAAAGATAGTGATATTTTATGTAGTCAAAGGAATACCTAAAAATTAATTCTATAAAAAATAAAACAACAAACAAATAGTAGAAGATATAGACAAAGTGGTCCCCTGAATAGATAATGCATAGATTGCAACTTGCAGGAAATATTGAAGTGAGAATTACAGAATATGTCATAGGGATATAAAAGTAGAGTTAAATAACGGTAAGCACAGGGTTCCATTCTGTATTCTTTTTCCCTTTTTTTGCCAGTTTGACTCAACCTGAGTTTCACACCTGAATTGACGATGTAGAAAATGATTCAAAGTCGCTCCAACAGCTAAAAAACTAATGCCAGTTTTAGCCTAGTTTTGGTGATGATGATCCAGTCCAAGCATCAGGGTATTTTGTGGTTCCCCTTCCGATTGTCCCAAGCTTACTTACTACAGCTATGAATGTTGCATCCTCGTTGCCTCCATGTCCATCAAAAGTGCAAGAAACATTGGAGTTCCCCTTTAGAAAGTTTTATGACCTTTTAGCATCATTTACAATTTCATTTACTGCAATAAACCTAACTTAAGATTTTTACACCATTTGCCTTTTTATAATAGGATACATGACAAGATGCTCCTATTACCATCAGCTTTCTAGCTGTGCCCCAGACTGTTATTAAAACTTAAAAAGGAGTGAAACCTGTATTGTTCAATTGGGGCATGAAGATTGCTGAGAACAAAGCTAAGATCAGCGCCAGCATCTTAAAAGACTTAAGGCCTCTGACGTGTTGTAATTACTCAGGTGTCTGGTGACAAAGGGGCAAGCCGACGAACAGAAATAAATAAAGAACATATCATAAATGGAAAGGTTGGATAGAAACAAGAAACACTATGAACACCTGAATCCTGATAAGAGCTCTCTTTGTTTTTTAAGAAGGCATGAAATACTAATAATCTTGAATGTTATCTTCAAGGTCAAGGAACAATCTTGCCATCGTGCCAATCTCAAACTCTCAACAAAATAGTATAAAATTTTTTATGAAAAAGTACACCTAAGAAATGCATAATTAAATGGGTTATATATATGATGTGGCCCTAAGGAGCTTCCTGAAATGAAAAAAACTAGGGAATTAACAGTCTCAGCATGCCTATTGTGGCAGATTGTTCCTACTATTGTAAAAATGTTTGCAATCTTTTAGCAACCATAGATGCAATGAAATAAAGGAAATGTTTAGAAAATGCCGGTTGGGGTGTGATTTCTCAAGAAAAAGCACCACAATTAGCTAGATGCTCATAACTGTAGCAAGTAGCACACAACCAAATACCCTGTCAGACATGGATCACAATTGATTGACCTTGATTTTCGTGCCTTCAAATTACGAAATTCTGTTTTATTTTAATATGATAATTTATATATTCATATCACTAAAAATATTAAATATTTATATATTTATATTATATTTTATATAAAAATTAGCATCTTATGCCACCGTAAAATGCAACAGAGCCTCAAACTGACAACACCACAATTTAATCAATTTCAAGATTCTTATACCAGTTGGAGGATAAGAGATAAGGCCTTTACCAACGGTACCTTACCTAATCAGTAAACGTCGTAATGCCTACCACCTGAGCTTTAGGCCGCTCATACTGAACCATTGAATGAAAAACATTTAATAACTGTTCTTAATCATGCAAACAGCTCAAAGCAAGCTGATGGGGATAAGTATAGTTTTAAGATATGATTAAAACCATTAAGCCCAACAGTGTTAATAAAGTCACTACTCGCCAACTTAGTTTTGACATGGGGCATTCCAGTGACAAAAATGGAAAATGTGACCCTTGAATGAATGGTTTTGATTAAGCATGCAGTGCAGTAATTAGACAAAGCTTATCACGACCTAAGTACCTAAATGAAGCTTGGACCACACATCAATGAGTATGGAAAAATGGCTACAGGGTTCTAGCTTTCACGCAAGTGTTTGAAAGACCTTCCAGGTTAACAAAGAGATACTAATGGAGGTAGATGGATTTGGTAACTAGATACACAGATATCTTTACATTTCTTATGTGACTAATCAGATAGTGTCAATTGATCATCAGGGCCCATAAGGATTCAAGACAAGAGAGTTACCCATTGCCCTCCACTGGAAATGGCCTCCAAAGTTTTAGTGGCTCTGCAAGTGGGCGGATCACCAGATATTGTTATCATTGGCCTCTGGGTGGTGGCCAATCAAGAGATTGAAGGGACTCCTCCTGTATAATGTGTTTGTCCAGCAAGAATAATTCAATCATGCATGAATAAGTACAGTATAAAAATAGTAAGAACATGAGAAGATTTCTTGGTCCCACTCAGCTTTTCCTCTTATCAGACCTTTTGCTTTTGGAGCTGGGTCAACCTCATATTCAACTCTCTTCACATGTGCCACAGAAGAAGAAGCTAATTTTCTCTTGCTAAAGCCCCTGAGGAACAAAATCAAATCAATACTGTACTGAAAGCAACATTGACAACATCAAGATATCAAGAGGTCACTAGACTTTGTAATAATTGTAAGCTTGAAATTTTAAAAATTTAGAAGAAAAACCAATTGTACGTTGGAAATTGCATATCTTAAAAGATTAGAACCATAAAAAATACCTTTATACCAAAGGTTTGTGTAGCACCAGAATGTCCAAAATTAATCTTGAAGCCAATAAAATGCCATCCCCAAATTGCCGAGGAAACAAATAACTTTCGAGATGAGTCCCATAAAAGATTGCTGCTGAAGACTTAAACGCAAAGCCCACGTGCTTGAACAATTTTCTAGGCGACGACATGTGTACTATAGCCCCAGCAACGGTATCACTTGACAAACAGAGTAACAGATTTCTTGCACAAGGTATTATGAACAACTAGTATTTCACAGTAATGATTCATCCTATTATTAGTGCAAGCCTAACTGGAATTTCAACTCTGCACCAACATCAATTCTGGAGCCCCCATCTCCATTCAGCCATTGATATTGTGCAAGTCATTATCAAACCTCTCTTCCCACTCTACTCTATGCAATGTACTTCAGACATTTGCAATAAGCTATTGCAAATTTGACACAAAAACTGTTTTCCACATACAAGCCTTACCAGAAAAGCTAAAAGCAGAGTCCAGCAGAATCTGCTTAAATCTTAAACAGATTTTACACCGAATATTTCAGACCAACAGAGTCCAAAGAATCCTTTCCAGGGGCCAGAAAAGATCCCCACGTCAGAGAAGCAAAAACTAAAGCACCCCTGCTATCAATCCATATGAAGAAACAATGTCCCATTCTCATTCCAACAAAAAGACAAACAAGTTCATAATAGTAAAATACAAACTCTTTTTTCCGGGGGTACATGCTTACATAATACATTTTCTTAGGCTCTCATATGGTTAATGTTTTTACATTAATATTTTTTCAATTAATGAAGAAAAAGCAAACGAAAAAAAAATTTTAACAGAAAACAAGAAGCAAGTAACAAAAGCATCAATCAAACAAAGCTTTAGTTATTATGGCTTGCAGTAAGGCTAGATCAACACTTTCTTTTTTCACAGTCAAGACATGTATCTGGTTTCTTTAGTGTTAAAGGCTCATTCAAAATTGGTTCCTTAATGGAAAAGCCTAATCAAGTATTGCATGCAAGCTACCTCCTTTAAGCAGTGGGCAGCAGTTATTCAGTAATTATTGGTTACACTTAACAAAGAGATAAGGCATAATAGTTCCTTTACATTTCTCCAAGCACAAGAATGTTGAATACTAAACTAAACCAAAAACTTACATGCACGAAATATGAAGAAATCCTACATTCCAATTTGTTAGCCTCACATAGAAGGAAAAAGAAGCTTCAGAACTGTGAACGGAGATTCCCATTATATTAATAGTTTTTTAAGCTTCCTTTCACAATACAGGAAAAATTCTCAGGCTAATGAATCGTTCTTGTGATTTCATGCCAACCCACCTCCATCAAAGCTGTGTATCAACAATAATGTGCTGGAGAAGTACTCGCATGCACTCCTCAGTAGTCAAGTTGAAGTTTTCTGAATATTGCCTTCTTTTTGGGATTTAGAATCTTCCTTTCTCTCCATGACCTGCTGGATTTCTTCTTGATATCCTACAATAAAACTCCTGAGAGCATCTCTATATGCAGAAGCCCTTGTCATGTAATAATCTCTGTAAAGCAGGTCTCAAAGTCTCCATCCCACCTCTTGCAGCAACTGCTTCGAAATCATTTCCATAAACAACATCAAAATAGTGTAAAAAGTTTAAGATGATAAACTAAAATACCAGGAAAATAAAAAGAGCAGGTGAGAAAGGAAAGAAATTTGGCCTCGAAATATGTTAGTCAAACAAGAGAAGCTGTACCCACAAGGTCGATGATGACAGAATCAGTAGAAAATTATCAACAGTTAAAAGAATTTTTCATTAAAAAAAAAATCAATATAAGAAATATATATTTAGAAAAGACAATTTTGGCAGATGTTACATCATGCTTCGTTCTTCATCGTGAGCAATTTTATTTACAACAATAGGTATCAAGGTACCATAAGATATTGGGTATGATTGTCAAAGTGATAGCTCTAGGATTTGAAACCCAGATGACTA